GTTCTGGTTTGTTTTTATTTTTTTGTCCTTAACTACCTGAATGAAGCTATGACTGTATTCTTATGACCTCTGTGTTCATATGCAAATTGTAATAGTCCCATACTCTCCAATTGCTAGCTTATACTCACTAGATGAAGTAAAGCCTAGCATCTAACTGCTCCCTGCCTCTCCTTTTCCTACAGTGGATGTTACTGAGACCATTTGTTCACTGGGCTGTCCTTAATTCAGCCCATCTGTCTCAGTAGCAGCTTTGTTTTCTTCTTCCTAAACCATATGATCACCACAAGATTTTAGGATTTCTGTCTGCTGCCTTTCTCATGATCTTTCGGTTGATACGCTGGAGGGAAGGAATGCCATGCAGAGGGACCTTGACACGCTTGTGAGGTGGGCTGATGCCAACGTCATGAAGTTTAACCTTGCCAAGTGCAAGGTCCTACACCTGGGTCGGAGCAATCCCAGACGCAGCCACAGGCTGGGCAGAGAAGAGATTCAGAGCAACCCTGCAGAGAAGGACTTGGGGGTGCTGGTCAGTGAGAAAATGAACATGAGCCAGCAGGGTGTGCTTGCAGCCCAGAAAGCCAACCGTATCCTGGGCTGCATCAAAAGGAGCGTGACCAGCAGGTTGAAGGAGGTGATCCTGCCCCTTTATTCTGCTCTCGTGAGACCTCACCTGGAGTATTGTGTACAGTTCTGGTGTCCTCAACATAAAAAGGACATGGATCTGTTGGAGCAAGTCCAGAGGAGGGCCACGAGAATGATCAGGGGACTGGAGCACCTCCCATATGAAGATGGGCTGAGAAAGTTGGGGCTGTTCAGCCTGGAGAAGAGAAGGCTGCATGGAGACCTGAGAGCAGCCTTCCAGTATCTGAAGGGTCATCTAGGGATGCTGGGGATGGACTCTTCATCAGGGACTGTAGTGATAGGACAACGGGTAATGAGTTAAAACATAAACAGGGGAAGTTTAGATTGGATATAAGGAGGAAATTCTTTCCTCTTAGGGTAGTGAAGCACTGGAATAGGTTGCCCAAGGAGGTTGTGAATGCTCCATCCCTGGCAGTGTTGAAGTCCAGGCTGGACAAAGCCTTGGGTGATACGGTTTAGAGCGAGGTGTCCCTGCCCATGACAGGGGGGTTGGAAATTGATGATCTTAAGGTCCTTTCCAACCCTAACTATTCTATGATTCTATGTTGCAACATCCTCTGTTGATGGCAAATTCCATCTTATCCTGATCTTGCTCACATCTTTGCTACTTACCCACAGCTTGATTATTTATATATATAGTACTGCAGATGTTTTTTACTTGGCTCCTTCAGTCACATCACTCCCAAATTTTACATTGCATGAGACATTTTGTGTTTAAAAACCAATTTGCTGTATCTCTTTGTATCTGTAGTCTCCTGCTCATATGCCATATTTTTTCACTTTTTTGTGCTCTTATGTATGTATTGCACTCTGGCTGGGGCAGATGCTTATATGGTGCTATCCAGTACAGATCTTACCAGTAACAGTGAAAGTAGTAACCATTGGTTTTGTGCTATGCTGATACCTGTAAAGAAACATACTACAGTATGCAGAAGAGATGGAAATTCAGACCTGCTGTTTGGTGCTGCAGAGGTATATTTTTGGAAGTGACAGGGAGAATGAAATCTGGAGAGGGCTGGTTCTGTGTTTTGAAGTGGTTGGATACAAAGACTACCAAGAAAACAGCCCCTTTTTATGTTTCCATACAAGCACTTGCTGTCTTAAGACCGTGTACCTGTGAGTTCAACTAGAAAAGCCAATGTGCTGGCATTCTTCGCGCTTCTTTTCTGCAGGCGAAAGCCTAACTTTAGACACCCAACTTTTTAGGTGTGGTATTAAGACATTGTAAAATCGTGCCACACCCAACAGTTCTTATTTGATTTTGCGAAGCATTGAGTTTGCTAAGTCTTCTGTAAAATGGATATATATAAGCTTCTGAACACAGTAATTTGGGTTCTTGAGTAAATAACTCTTAAAATAAGCACAGAGGAGCTATTACGGGCAGGAAAAGTGTTTCCAACCTGCAAGTTTGGAAACTTGCAGGCTTGGAAATGTGGAGAAACAGGCTCCTTTGCCTGCCTTCCACTCTTGAGTGATAGTGCTCCTGTTAATCTGGGCTGTCATTAACAGTGCACAGATAGTCCTGTGCTTTATTAATGACAAAAATATCCATTGAGAGCATAGCATAAATTATGAAATCTCTGTTTAAAGAGAAAACTTGAAATTAATAAAATAATTTAAAAAGTTTTCCTCTAGGTTCTTTAGCTTTCTTGCATCAGCAAATACTGAATGCTTTTAGAGGAAAGGCTGAAATGGGTAGAAGTGCTGATTTAGGATTGCAGGCAAGGCATACCTGCTAAAATTTTATGGTAGTTCATTTACAATGGAGGCAAAACAAGTTTCTAGGCTGCAAAGCAAACAACATCTGTTAGACCTTATGTTGACCATAGATTAGCGATTTGTCTTGCCTAAGCATGAATATCATGGTCTAAGTAAACATGTAAGGGTATAAAGTGGACAGGGAATAATCACTGCAGAGGTAACATACACCAGCAGGAAAGATGAAGATGAAAGGTGTGAAGATGTAGAAGAAAATTCAGTGGAAATCCAGAATACAAGGAAGCAACTGGCAAGAAAACAGTAGATAGATAATGGCAGCCAGCTTGGGTTGTAGCAAGGTCTGGAGAGAAGAAAGATCGGACAGGATATTGGAGAAGAGTGTTTTTCTAAGGAGGTAATAATTTCATACGGTGTTAGTATGCTGGGTACTCTGTGAGTTGCCTCCAAGAGTGCTTTTTGTTTAAAATAATTTCCCCCACCTCCTTATGTTTTGGATCAGAGTAAAGCCTATGGACACAGAATGAATTCTTCTGCATAACCTTCTAATAATGTGCTACACTGTGGCATCTCAAGTTTCTTTTTGATGTACAAATTGCAGTCCACTTGGTAAATAAAGTGGATTACTTACGGTGTTACTAGTCAGACAACCTAAGTCTTTGCAAGAGCTATTTCAGAGGACGCTCAGTGGCTTTTAAAAATCCTATTAAAAGATTTTGTTTGCAGATGGTACAGAGGATGAAAACCTTACAAAACAAACAAACCACACTATGCAGTGCATCTTACTGCTCCCCTGTTTGTCAAGGGCAGTTTGCTCGTAAGGTGCAGCTATAGCTGAAATTAGCCTTTGCTGTTTGTACATGAAAGTAGATCTCTAAAGAATCCAGAGTTGGAGTGGATTTAAGAATAAGAAGCATCAAGCTTTACATATTTTACGCAATTATGATTATGCTAATTATAACAATATAAATGTCACAATCTTCTTGTAAATGTTAAGTTTAAATAGTGTTAGTTTTAAGCGTGAACTACCAGGATCAGAAGACAGTTTTGTTGAATGAATGTAGTAGAATTTATAGTGTGATCTTTTAGCACCTCTCACTACTGATTATTGAATAAAGAAGTTTGACTATTCAGAACTTAGAGTGAATTTGCACAGTTTAAGTTAAAAAATACAAACATAATATCTTCAGGTGGAAGCTATTTAATAAAATATTGCAAAAGTAACATTGAATTCCTAATGCAAAGCCAGACTATTTAGAAAACTGTGTGTTTTGAAGTATGGTGTATGCAGGATTTCATTTATATTATACCCAGTTTGAAGTTTTTTAATGGTAGTATTTAAAGAGGTTGCTTTGTGCCTGTGATTTAGCAAAAACTAAAGTATAAATACAAAAAATCCCACCCTGCTAATATCACATGAATTATACGATATTGCTTTTTTGGAGAAAAATCTGAGAAAATACATACTGGAGATAAAAACTGTTGACATTTTACCCAGCCGTTCTGTTTTAATTCAATTCTGACATTTGCTACCTTGTCAGCAAAGCTTTGGATATGCTTCAGAGTCCTAAGAGAAAAAAAAAAAAAGAATTAAAATATTTGAAGAGGTTACCTCTTTTCTTCTGTCTCTGAAGACAGCTATTCTGGACTCTCCCCATATCAATCTCCTTTTCTTCCTCCTCAAGTGTGAAAACAATGTGTGTGGGCTTTAGGTCTTAGTAGAAGTATGGGAAGAGTTAGTATTTGGGAGCTAATAGAAAAAGCTGGTATGTGTAACTATCTTTAAAAGTAACTATAATTAATATTGTTGTTACAGTAAACAAATTTTCCTGTGGTGGTTAGTTGTGTACTAGAGTCAATGCTCCTTTAGAAAAAAAACAAAACCAACAAAACCCCCAAACCAACAGCATTGTTTTCTTAAATCCATTTCCCCTAGATGCCGAAATGACTGTTTTTAACAGACTTTAATTATCTTAGCAATGTATACACAGGTGAGAAATTTTACCTTAGGAGCAGCAAACTGAATTGCTTACACCACCATCATTATACTCTGCAATAGAACTTCCATCACTGAATATTTCAACCTTTAAGTACACAACTTTCCTTTCTGGCACCTGGGCTATACTGAGTAGGGATTTTTTTGCTGAAATGTTAAGCTCAACTGCCTCTTGGCAGGCAGAGAACTGTTCCTTTAACAGCAATTTATGACCTCATTCCTACATTCACTGCGTGCAAAACTTGTTAAACCTGTAAATAGTGTTTCAAAACTGAAGAGCTTTTGAAAGCTTCAACCTTTTACCCTTCTTGGAAAGCAGATTAATGGAAGGTAGTTGTGGAAGACTGCAGGAGCAGATATTGTTGATTCCATGCCATTAGCTTTTGTTAATAAAAAAATAAGGGAAAATAACCTTGCTTGTAGATAAATACCTGTAAATTCCTGGGAAAATTATCTGTTTTCTGTATAAGTAATTCTTTGTTGATGTAGCTTCCCATGGAGGTGCTTCTTTTGAAGTGTCTTTTGTGAGCTTGCCTTTTTAAGTTTTTTGACAAAGCTGCTTCAGCTGTGTCAGAGTTTAAAGATAACTACTGCTGTATGTTAATGCTCTGGATAATTGTTTTCTGGATTTATCTGCTATGAATAGAAGACAATTTATAAAATGTTGTTAACCTCAACTCTCTCTTCTTCACTCAAGAGCTCTAAGCGAGAGTGGAAGCCTCTCGAGGACCACAGCTGCACAGATGTACCATGGCTACTCATATTTATTCTCTTCTGTGTAGGAATGGTGAGTAAAACTCAAAGGATGCTGTGAATGTTATATAGTTAAAGATTGTGCATTTATTAGAAGTTTTAAAACTCTTCAGTAACTTAGTCACTGGGTAAGTTGAACTGGGCATGTGAACTATCAGATGTACGCCTGAAGCAGGTAATATGTGTGTATCAAAGGCCTTTGGTAGGAATCCATAGTTTATTATTTATGTCAGTTATTGTTCCGGCTTCCCTTCCCCTGAAACTCCAGTTTCACTTGTGATTTTCAACGTGGTGAGGTATCACTTGACTCATGTTCCTTGTGTATCCAGCTTTGAGTCTAGTAAACAGTTCTGTGCATCACAGTAAACTTTTTTCTGAGAAACAAATTGTGAATATCAAAAAGTTGACTTGTTTTTTCTTGGATGCTGTTATACTATTAATAACTGTATTACTAATGGCAGGATCTTTATTTCCAAGTTATCCCAGTTTCATCCTGTGTGATGAAACTGCTATATTTCTCAACATAGCCTCACAACACTGTGCACTTTGTATTAAAAAGACCAACCTTCAAAAACTGCAGAGGAGTCAAAATCAGCAATACAATTTTATTTTGTTTTTATCTTCTTCTGTTTCGTGGACCTTCCTAAAGAGGGAATGTTTGTCACTGTCTTATACTGCTGTGTTGCAAGCAGTAGCCCTTAGGAGTTTGGAACTTCTGTGCTGTCAGCTTTCTTTTCTGCTGTGCCTTGGTGTCTGGTCTTTGAAATTATTCCACTGTAAAATTTCTATTCCCCAAGTGTTTGTCATTTTCTGTGCTTCAAATGTAAAAACATAATGTTTTGTTTACATCATATGAATTATATTCTTCCTGTAGTGTGAACATCTTAAGACTGTAAAAAGCACAGTACTTCCAGAAACAAGCAGCTCTTTTGTGGTTGTTTTTTTCCTGCTTTTGTTGATGTTCTGTGGTTACTCAGTCTATACGTACCTGTTCCCCCAATTATTTGTTAATCCATTGTGTGTTGAGTGTTCCAGATTTTCCTGTCTAAACAGTATGATATACAGAGCAATTTCATATTGGATCAAATATCCTGCTAGTTACTGTTCTAGGAGACTTCATCGGAAAGGTCAGGTACTATAATGGGTGAGGCAGGCATTCCTGCGCTGTTGTAAATTAGCTTAGATGGAGGTAGGTGCATTATTTCCCTTGCCCTGTGTATAGGGAAGAAATTTTTGAACCAGCCAAGAACCTGAGTAATAATGTATGTAAAATTCATGCTCGTATGTCCTTTACAGAGTAGTAAGGGGTCTGAGAAATTGAAAGTGAGTGCTGGAAATAACTTTAATTACTTATGATAGCCTTTTGCTCATTTTGTCCTTGTTTACGCTTCGAATATTAAGTCTATAAGTGCATTAGTGCATTGGCAAGAGAAAGATAATGACCAGCTTGCTGTCTCGGATTTCTCTATAGTGATAGCATGCCTGTCAGAGAAGACCACTCTCCTGTATCTTCAGACCTTTAAAAACCACCCATACTTCAACCGTTCCATGCCAACTTCATTATTTCTTGTCACCATCTCATCTGATCCTGTTGCTGTCATCTGTTGCTCCACACATTTGTTTCAGCTGTTTACTCTGCTTCCCCTTCTGAAATCTTAGCTTGCCTCATCTACAAAAACAGTTCATTGATGGTAGTGGAGTGAATGGATGGTTCACTTCTCCGTGTCAGCAGTGTTCCTAGAGAGCTAATGATTCTTTTGGGACAGTCCTCTGCGTAATCACTGCCTTCATCTTCATTTTGCTAATGAAATACATCTGAAAGTTCACAGCAAGGCCTCCCTGATACTGAAGCATTACTCTGAGCTGTTTTGCATTCACCTGCTCTGGGTCTATTTCTTTCCTGCGTTTGAGCCCAGCACAGTGGCTGGAGGCATAGTGGCCTTGATCTGGTCACTTGCCTTGGAGGATTTCCTTAAACAGAACTTATGTCAGCTAGACTTCTAGATTCTAGGTTATCTTTGAAAGTACATAATTTGAAGGAAAAGAATAGGAAAAACTTAAAGCGAGAAAATCTGGACTGTCTGGAGTCCTCCAAGATACATACCAATCCTTGACAACTCCAGCTCTGCTTCTAGCTCTCCAGAGCCTGCTCTTGGCCTCCTCCCTTCTGCTTCATGCACCACTTGCTGACAGTATGACTCTCAATCACCTACAAGATTTTTAACTATGCTTGGATAATATGCAGTCTTTCAAACTGCGTTCAATTTTATAATTGCACAACAGTTCTCTGGATTGTCCTTGTCTTTCCTTTTTCAGTCTGAAAGAATTTTTGAAGAACCTTCACTTAGAAATAAGTGGATTAAACTGACTTTTCCCACATGTCACAAGTATTACTAAACTATGTTGTTTTGGTTTTTTTTCTCTTCCAGGGTTTTATCTGTGGCTTTTCAATAGCTACAGGAGCAGCTGCGAGACTGCTTTCAGGATATGACAGTTATGGAAATATTTGTGGGCAGAAAAATGTAAAGGTGGAGGGAATAGTCAACAGTGGTCTGGACCTCACACACAAGAAGTGAGTATGGGATTCCAGTTGCTTCATTCTGTAAACCAAGAAAGGCAAAACCTGTCTTCCTTTGAGAGTAGTTTTCAATAAACTGGGAAAAGGGATATGCTAACTCATTACTGCTTGTCCTTCTCCACTCCTGTCAGCTAGAGAACAGCTGTCTTTTGTAACAACCAGCAGTACTACTTTGAGAGCGTATGTTAACAGAGAGCATAAGTACAGCTAAGATATTGACAGAATTTCCCTTTCTTGGCATCTGCTTTATATGGGAGACTGTATCAAGCCACTGAAGAATCTTGTTTGAGTTTTAGGTACAAGTATTCACAGATTTGGGAACAGGCCTTTGATACCTATGTAGAAATGATTGCTTTTGATGTTGTATACTCATTTTTTGTCATCAAGTTTAGGGGGAGATGGGATAACTCTGAGACATTAAAATGAGCGTTTAAACTGTAAACAGAATATATATAAGTGGCATGTGGAGAAAATGCACAGAACTTTAAGCAACACAGAGCTCTTATTAAGCATACTTACAGGTCAGAGCCAGCACAGGTATAAGATGTTTATCTCATTGGTGATTATGAACTAAAATAACTTTGATTTCTGAGTCTTGATAGCCTTTTGCTTCACACTTCACTTTCAAATTAACAAAAAATCTATTATTTGCATGAATTATTTTGGTAGGATGCTTTCTGAAGATCTGTTTATTTTGAGTTGCTATAAGGGTTTCTGAATATCTGATTTATGGTATAATGTGGGTAGGTAACTGATGTGTTACCAGAAGAATTTGATTTAAATAGAATAACCTGAAAATATTTAGAGATTTCTTCTGTCAAAAGAATAACTTCTTAATCTAATCACAGCTTCCAAGAGGATAGTTTTTCTACCTTTATATATAAAAAAATATGGCACTTCCTAAAATTAGGTGGATTCAGTACAAAATCGTCATTCCTGTGTAGTGAAAAAAAATTTAAAAAATTTACATTTTAAACTTAGAAAGAAACAGTGTCTGAGGTGTCAACGTGGAGAAACTCAGGTTCCTTATTGAAATAGTTCATAGTGTGTCTCCTACATGTGACAGAAATCAGGCCATCATGAGGAGAAATATTTCCCACTGCTAAGTGATTTCTTCTTGTAAAGAGAAGGTTGAAAGACAGCAAATAAAAACAGAAACCATTTTAAGCACTGTTAAGAGAGCCTGTTGCTTATCAAAGTCTTAATAAGGTTCTAAAGGATTATGTTTTTCTAATAAAGGTATCATGGCTGAAGGCATGACCTAAGCAAATAAATAAATATACCCATGTGGGATTTAATCATCTCTATTTGGTTGAGAGAGAAAACTTTCTACCAAGGCAGATTATTATGTAACTGTTCACAGTGAAGTGCCTGGTACAGTCCAGAATACCTGCTTTGGAATAGGCCAGTTCTTATGTAAGCAAGGGATCCTTCCCACTCTCACACCCTGTAGGTTTCTTTTGCTTTCTCAGCAATTTCTCAGTAAAAACTATTTGCTTTGCATCTGTCTCTAGCAGATGGAGTTCCTGCAGTGTCTGAGGTCCAGTTCATGGGAGTATTTAATGCTATTCTGTTGAAGTATTTTTGAGGCACACTGTAAAAATAAACTCTTCTTCTTGCCTCTGCATTTCAGTTTGTGTAGAGAAAGGGCTTTAAGCTGTACATGTTCTGGAAACATGAAGTTATTCTCATTTCATTCTGCTTGCAAGGTAATTTTGTCTTCATTTCCAAGGCGGAAAAGCTAAATCATCCGTAAAAATAACATTTTCTTCCTTGTAAACGACAGCAACCCATAGGCACTGTAATGAGGAAGTGAAATGGATGTGGTCTGTGTGGATATGGAAATCTTGGGTGATAAGGGTGAAGAGCAGAGTCCTCACACGGATTTCATTTGATCTGTGTGCATCAGTTACGCTGAAACCAATGAGAAGAAATGTTGCAAAGGAGGATTTTACAGCCTGGTCTCAGGCATCTTTTTATTTTTACAAAGAAAACACAGTACAGCTTTAGTAGGCTGTGCTCTAGAGTGAGACACAGGATTATAGTCTAACTCTGGCAGTGAATTCTCATTAAGCCTGTTTGCTTCAAATAAGCTTCTTGCTTTTCAAATTCTGGCAGTAATACAGGGGTTAAAAATGACCTTTTATTTGCAAATAGATGATGACTGTAGCAGCCAAGTATAAATCCGTGAAATGCAAGTTCAAACTGAGTTTTTGATTAGCAATACATTTCTGCTTGGACAGAATTCAGTTTGTGCTGTTCACTCAAGTGTGAGAAGATGTGTATGTGCTGCTATAGGGAATCATTAAGGTGGAATTCTGTCTTAATAAATGTGTTTGACTCAGAAGGATTTGTGGGGTTTAGGTAGTGGCAAAATCCAGGAAGCGTTTGCAGCATGCATACGAAGAATTCGAATGAAACTATTTGCCCTACCCATAATTTCTCTAAAGTGGGTGTGATCACTTAATTTACTTCTCTATTATTAAGATGCTTGTAGATCACAGCAAAGCTTATTCTGTAAAGCACTCATTTGCCTATAAAGAGATGCCTCAAAGGCTGCCAGAAAATCAGTGACACTGGCAAATGTAAGTGAACAAAGTACTTGAAGGTGAGATAGGCTTGTTCGTTTGATTTGCCATCCTGCTTCAAGAATCAAGGGGTAGTGTACAAAATGATAATGCTTTGTCTTCCTGTTTTTGCAAGGAAAAAGGAGACTGCTGTATTTCTCATGAGCATGAGCAGGGAATAGGATGTTTGTCTAGTAAGCTACCAGGCAGAAGCAAATTTGTTATATTTGTTTATTTATTTGTCTATTTATTTATTTATTAAAAAAAAAAAAGCCCCAGACTTTGCTAATTTTGAAATTACTGTTCCTTTATTGCAGAGATTCTTTTAACAAACCCTGATTTTTCCAAAAAGTGAATTTTTAATATCAAAGAGTTACAGAACTGTAGAAAGTTTCAGATTCAAAGGCACCTTTAAAGATTATCTAGCCCAGCCACCCTGCCATGGACAGGAACATCTTCAGTTGGACCTTGTTGCTTAAGGCCCTGTCCTAGCTGGCTTTGAACCTGCCAGGGATGGGGCATCCAGATTCCCTGGGCAGCCTGGTCCAGCATTTCACCACCTTCATAGTAAAGAATTTATTCCTTGTATCTGTTCTAAAGTGATCGTCCTCCTGTACTCAGTGCTGGTGAGGCTGCATCTCGAACCCTGTGTTCAGTTCTGAGCCCCTCACTACAAGAAAGACATTGAGGTGCAGAAGTGGGTCCAGAGAAGGGCAACGAAACCAGGAAATTCCTAGAGAACTGGTCCTATTAAGGGCAGCTAAGGGAACTCGAATTGTTTCGTTTGGAGAAGAGAAGGCTCAGGGGGGACCTTATCGCTCTTTCCAACTTCCTGAAAGGAGGCTGTAGTGAGGTGGGTGTCAGATTATTCTCCCAGGTCACAAATGATAGTGTGAGAGGAAATGGCCTCAAGTTGTGCCATGAGAAGGTTTAGATTGAGTAGATGGCTTAGATTGGAGTAGAGGGGAAGAATTCCCTTCCCTCAATTTCCTGATCACACTTCTTTTGATACAGCCCAGCATCTGGTTGGCTTTATGGGCTGTGAAAGCACACTGCTGGGTCATGTCCAGCTTTTCATCCATCACTACCCCCAAGATCTCTGCAGAAGGATCTTCTTTGATACATCATAAACATGCATAAAGATGATTCCTAGGTTGTAAATCTGATATACTGAATTTCCTATAGCAAACAATTTTTTGTTTGCAGTGTGGAAACTTGTCTAACAATATGATTACTTTATTTAGTTCAGTCTTTGCATTTCTCATCCAGGTTACTTTATTGTCAACAAATTAGTCTATTGTTAATTCTAAATAACTGAAATTGCAGCACAAGGCATGGAAGTACATTCTTCTAATGGAAACAAAATCTGCTTGGTGGTGACACAGTATAGAATTTTCTGCAATAAAATCACTTACTTTCAGCAAGTAAGCTTTACAAACCGAAACCAAAATAACATTTCCCATGTAATACTGGTGCCTAGGATTTTGATTCTTGTTTTAGCTGCTAGAAATTAAAAAAAAAAAAAATTACTTCAGTCTTCCTAGGCCATGGATTGAAGCTGTGGATTTGGTAGCTTGAGTTTGCTTTGTAGCTGCCTTACTCTTGCCAGACCTGTCTCTGAACCATGTAATTCAGTGTTTGAATTACATGTATTTGTTTAAGAGTATGCCAACACAGTATGTTTCTGACAAAACTCTGTATCACACTGTAGTTGCATTGTATTCCTAAATTTCTAGCTTTGATTTTAAAGTGCAGTGTTTGTTTTACAAAATATTAAGTTCTTCTAGGCAATAAAATTATACCTTGGCCCTTGAGTTTGAATCGCAGTAGAGATGGGGTGGATTCTAGCTTATTCATGCTGACATTCCTGACTTGTTTTTTTAACTTAATATGTGTTAAGGGACGTTTGGAGAAACCTTCTGACCAGCCACTGGAGCCCAGCCTGATCCATTCTGGGAGCCAGGGTTTCTGCTTGGGCAGGAATGTGGATGGACAGACACACAGGACACTGGCACGGCTGGTTGCTAACCACAGCAACTGAGAAAGCACTGCCTTCAGCAGCACCCACAATACTTTCAAGCATAGCCAGCCATGTCCCCTCCTTGTGGGCTGGCAGAGACAAGGTCACACAAATGACAGTTTCCAGGTTCACAAGCACATCTACATTTATGGATCCTCCAAGTACCAGTGCCACCCCTCTGCTCACTCTGCACCCCTGCCTGAATCTCAGGCTCCCTTACTTGCAGCTGGTCCAGTTTGGTGGTTACTAGCAAACACACACACTCATCCCACAGGCATCCTGATATACTAGTACAGCCCCTCTGCCCACCTAGCCCCTCTGCCCACCTGACCCCTCTGCCTGGACCCAGAGCCTTCTGCTCACCAGCTAGTAGTGCATCTTGGAGTTGGCTGGTAGGTTACACATGAACACGCTGCTTTGGGGAAAGTGTGGGTGCTCAGCCCCTGCCAGTAGCTAGCACCACACAGGCTGTGACCTGTTGTCCTGCTCCAGCCACCTGTGCTCAGCCCTTTTCCTCTGTAGCTGTTTTTTGGGGACACACACTGCTAGCTCCCCAGTGGGTGGTGGCCAAGACCGCTCCCTTCCCCCAGTCATTGGCAGTGAGACCCTATTCACTTTGGTAGCAGACACCACAGGACTGGGACACCTAAATCACTGGTCTGACTTCAGTTGCTGGCACCAAATCTGTTACACTGGTTCCCCCAGTAGCTGGCACTTAGTCCTTGCAGTACTTGCAGCACCTGTGCACCTGGGCTAGTGACTGGAATTACACAGAGTTAAGAAAGGTTTTACTAAAAAAGACAGGGCAGAGCAACATCAGCGGACACACAACTGTCCCCTTTACACCTCTTTCTGTCTGCCCCATCCCCTTTCTTTCTGCCTGAATCCTGTCCCATGCACATTCCCTCAGCAGCTGGTACAGTCCCACTGACCCCTCTTGTTCCCTTCATCGTTGGGTTTGCATCCTTATCAGTTTCAAAGTCCTTGCCTGGAGTTTCTTGATAGACCATCAATTGTTGTGATGGACTGGGTTTGTTTCCCATTACTTTTTAGTAGCACTAAATAGTCAAGGTTTATGTTTTCAAGAGGTGTGTCACTCCTCTTTATCAGCATGGTTTGGCAAGGTTCTTAACCAGATAATCTTACTCAAAGATGAGAATTCTCACACTCCACATATCCTTGCCAGTTAGTTCTACCGACCAACTTTATTCCCATCACAACCTCCCTTACTACATGTCAGTCAGGTTTGATTCTGTAGGTTCTTATTTGTAGCTCCTTTGACCAGATACCCTCAAAGGAGCAGATGCTCTCCTTCCATGTACCCTTATGGTATGGAATGGCAACTGCAGGAACTTGCCCACATGAAGAAAAAGCTGTAACAGGAGTGTCTATTTAACGTAAGTATTGTTATTTCTTGGTATTAGCTCAGGAGTATTTTCCTGGGTATAAAGGCTAACTGTGGAATTAGTGGCTTCTTGTTCACATTCAGTTACTTTGGCTGTGTCTGTGGACAGAAATTCTCATGTTTGCGTTTGCTTCCTTAGACTTTTATATTCTGTGGAGTCCTGAGGTGTATAGTGTGTATTAAGTAAAAAAACCCAGAAATAGCACTGAATAGTTTTCATAGAGGTGTGGACAAGGAAAAAAATGTTTTAGGAAGGAAAGTAGTCTATTGCCACATTGTATTTGATACAGATGAAATGGAGTTTGATGGACATAGTACAGTAAGACTGTACTATGTACTAATAATTCTTGTATACTGGAACTGGGTAATAGAAGAGTCTTTCTGTGTGGGAAGGTTAAACAGCAATTAGTGTATAGACTGAAAGTGTTCAGGCATGACCTAAATGCATTCTGGGAACAGAAGAGATTTTTACTCACTACTGAATGAATTCCCATCATCTGGACTGCAAGAATAGCAATGGCATTTTATGTGGTAGTTTAGTGTTTTTTCCTATAATGATGCTAGATAATATGAAAAAAAATATTTCAGTGCATAATGCAGCACCATATTTGTAGGAACTTGAAAAACTTGTTCAGAAGAACATTCTGCATCTGTTTTATACCATGAATGAACAGTACTGTAAGGTTAGCATTTGTGATAAAATGTGTAGAGCCACAAGATGTTAGCTAGGAAGCTATCGTACCTATTTCATACACTGGGTTTTTAAATGGCAGTGCCTCATCAGGAAAATTTAGCAAATAGAATCTCTCTAAAATACTGCACACGAGCATTATATAGTTCTACTTAAAATATCTGAACAATTTTTCTTTCAAAATAAGTGTCAAAGGTAGCCTGCTCAGCCATATGGTCCAGTAGTGTGGAAAATCAATACAAACAAAAAAGGTGTTCTTAATTACTGGTGAATAGTAATAATATAATAGCCATGAAAGAATAAAATAGCCATGAACTTTGTTCTTTTTGCAGTGTGAGTATAACCTTACGGGGTTGGTTGAGTCTTTCTGGGTGAAGTTGGAAATCTTGAAGTTCAAGGTTGGAGTGGAGCTTTGTTTGTGAGTGTTTGGACTTGTATCTGTGAAGAGCCATGGGAGGTGCTGTTGGTTTTATGAGCAGCACCACGTGATTGGACTTGAATCTGATAGACTTAAACATCCCTTCTTTGTGATCCAGAAGCATGTAAATGTTTATATATTTAAGGTGCATATGCAGAGTGTGTGAATTCTTTTGACCCACACAATTATGACACCAAATTTCCTGTGTTTCTGGATAGACTGAAGATTAGTCTTGGCTGAAGCCTTTAACTTTAAAGGAAATTGATTTTGTTCAGTGTAGCTGTTAATTAAAATGTAAGTAATTTACGTTTTTTTTCTTCTCTAGGTATGTGTTCTTCTTGGATCCATGCAACATTGATATAGTACACCAGAAGATCAAGTCTCTTGCTTTGTGTGTGTCTGCTTGTCCAAGGAAAGAACTAAAAACTCTGGCTGATATTCAGAAATTTGCAGAAACGAATGGTATGCAAAAAGCGTATTTGTTTTTGTTTATGTACGAGATACCATCATAGGATTAAAAAAAGACTTGTGCATTAGCTGAACTAAAAATTAAATATGTATTAAGAAATATCAGTAGAAATAATGTGATATTTTTATTAAGCTAAAACTTTAAGTCTTACAGTATAAATATGCTTCTGTTCTGTCAAGCCTTGGGCAGTCTTGAAAACTCATTGTTAAAAGAGGAGTACAATATGTAACAAGAATTTGATGGGATATCTGACTATACAGTATATTTTCAACACCTACTGAAATATTCTGACGTTGCTGCTTAACAGTAATGCTGTTAAAATGCCCTCATGTATATGGAGTTAGTGAGCAATGCTGCTATTGAACGGCACTTGCTGCACAGAGTATGGCTGTGTATATGAAAATATTCCTGTTTTCATTTAGTGCTACAGTCCAGTTTCTGGAGTGTGTTTTGTTTTCTTACACTTTTTCAACAAAACATAAAGGAAACTAATGTTACTAACAAATAAGATATTATATCTTATCTCCTTAAAACCAGTATTTTTTCTCTGTGGTAATAGTACTGATATTACTAGCTCAATTTAAATTTTAACACTGTATGGAGTAAAATGCATGACAGTTAACCAACATTTGGACATTCCAAGCGAAAGTAAAGATAACTTAATTTGAGGAAATTTCAGGGGTTTCAGCTATTAAAGTGAGTGTTTTGTCCTAAGCTTGCCTCCTTATTCTTTTAAAATGCTGCAGTAAGATTTCATTGCAAGATACTTACCTAATGATGAGTCAGTCTGGGTGCCCAAGTTCAAAGCAGTGAAACTGATTACACAGAAGGAAAAGAAATGTTGATTTCTGTTCTGGTACAGGTTACGTTGAGTACTTCTTGTTTGAAAGCAGCGCGAGTTAAGTGGACATATGATACTGTTAATGCCTTTGGTTCTCCCACTTCATTGTGCCCTCACACCTGGGTGCCTGACAGCCTGAATCATGGAGCTGAACTATCATGTGGCACCACAGCATGAGTGGAGCTTCACAAACAGCTATGCTGCACAGTGCAGTGGGTGATCTGAGAACAGGAGTTTCCTCACGTGGTCTGTGTGCTGTTGTCAAATACAAGCACCCCGTGAAACTAGCCAGTATCTGCAGTTTGTCTCTTTACCCCTTACCTGAGCATGCTGTGTTTTTCTTAACTAATGAGACCAGTTATTTGTTGGTGTGAAGTCAATGTCATTAGTAGTGGAGTTTCTTAAGTACCCCATATGCCTTGTTTTGCCACAAACATTGTTTCTGTGTTTGTAAGTCAAGTCTCTTTCTAACTGTGCCTGAAATATATTCATTATAGCCATCTTTTAAAATACAACATACCCACCCTTTAAACATGCCCCCTGATTATCTGTCCTATCTGTATCTTCCTTTGTTTCAAGATAAAGGATATTTATATTTTTTATTAGTATCAGAGTTGTTTTAGTTTACAGAAGTTTGTTCAAAAGTATAAAGCCAGGTGTTAGTTACAACAGAACAGAATTGTTGATGAGTTTGATTCCTAATTTTCATTATGTGATGTTTGGCTTATCAAGAACAGGTTCTAAACTATATTAAACTCTGCCTTTATAGATGAACTGTATGTAAGACTGAAATCACACAGAAATATTGTCATCATGGCTGTATTTCTGCTGTGCAGGTTCCAAAAAAGTGATGGTCTGCAGCAAATGAACAGCTTAAGTATTGATCATTTTAAATATTGCATATGTATAGCAAAAGTTTAAACATGATTCAGTCTTAGAGCAAGAACTGTGCTTTAGCACCGAATCTGTAGCACTCAGTAAACAGCATCGTTTTTCTGAGGTCCACTTTGTAACTATGATAATGGGTTTAAGTTAATTAATACTAGGATTATCTTTGGCAGTCTGTTTCAAGCGACCATAGACTCCACTGTGAAAAGGATAATGAGGAAATCTTAGGACTTTGAACATGACTGCACGGAGTTTAATTGCAATTTCAATGTTTTTGGTGATATCTAGCTAGAATTCAGAGATCAGCTGTCAAGTTCTGAAGAAGGAGGAGGGCAAGACATACGTATTTGTTTTCTTGTGATAATGCTGAATTTTCCCAGGCTTGCAGTTTCTAACACTCAACAAGAAAAACATCTTTGTGTTATAAATACATGGGTAGAGAATGCAGTCAACTCTTAATTTTGCTCTGCTGAGCCTTTCTGAAAACCTTAACCCTTCCTGCAGCCTGAAAATAGCAATTGTGCTGGAGCTGGTCTCTGTGCATGTGCATTTGAAGAGCCAGCCATTTTCACCTGGCTCACGTTATATCTATAATTACCTTACTTGTCCATGCATCTTGGAATTCTTTTGTAAGTTACTGCTTAAGAGCCCTTCCATCCCAAAGAAATAATCTGTTGTGCCTCATTCTGTCAAGAGATGGTATGGTAAGTTCAAATGTTTCTTTGGTGTTTGTTTTGGTTTGGTTTTTTGGCGTTTGTTTTTTTTTTAATCGAAACATCTTTAACAAAGATGTAACATAATGACATATAGTACAATATCCTTATATTGATTAATGAATTTATCAATAGCCGATATGATGTTCCAGCTAGCTTAGTATTTATATTTTCCAAAGTGGGACAGGCACTTGATCGCCTCTACACAACATGTCGAAACTGACGGCCCCTAAGGTTCAGAGCAATTATGGCAGAACTCTTACTTATTATGCAGTACAGCTTGTATTTTTCTGTGAGCAAGATTATAAATAAGCATTTAGGGCAGAGAAAATGCTTGCTTGAGGCATGAAGATCATTTCATGACAAAGCATCATTTTGGCCTCCTGAATCAGTAATGATGTACTTGCTATTCTGCTGAAAACTGGGGAAAGGAGCTGATTTGGTGAATAACACAGCTGACATTTCAGGACAGTAACTTCACGCCCACTCCTACCCCTCTTGCGCTCCCACAGTCAAGTCCTGCATTTGTGGTACCTTTCTGTCTAAAGAGAGGGAGAAGTCCATCCCTCACAAAGCCTGGCTGGTTTTAAGAACGCATTTTAGTGTGCCACTTTAACCTATTCAGAATAATGGGCACCCAGAAAGCTGGAAACCAAGTTGTAACCTTCTACAAAAGGAAGAAAAAAGGGAAGAAAAAAGTTATGCAGTTGACCACTCAGATCTTCAGCCTGTGCAAAAGTGCAAGTTCCAAAATACAGGAATGTTCTGGTGGAGGGAATGTTCTGGAGGAAGGAACAGAAAGGAGTAGTGTTGGCTGAGATCATGTTCTAATGCTGTTCTCACACAGCCATGCTGATACTTAAGTTTGTAGAATTACGGATTAGACACAATTGAGTATGTCGTACATTGTGAACTGGCTGTACCTGGTCTCCCCAGGATTTTCTCATGCAGCAGAACACCTAAAGCAGGAAGTACTTGGGATTCAGTGTTTTTGTTGGTCTTAGCACGTAAAAAATGTGTAATTTGAGTAACATGAACTGAAAACTGCTTTTTTCCAGAAATCAGACTGATGCTTCAAAATTTAGTGTCCATGACATATTGTGCTGCTATTTTCAAGGACTTGCAAAAGCATTTTGAAATATCATAGAATCATAGAATAGTTAGGGTTGGAAAGGACCTTAAGATTATCAAGTTCCAGCCCCCCTGCCATGGGCAGGGACACCTTGCTCTAAACCATATTACCCAAGGCCTTGTCCCACCTAGCCTTGAACACTGCCAGGGATGAGGCATTCACAACCTCCTTGGGCAACCTATTCCAGTGCCTCACTACCCTAATGGGAAAGAATTTCCTCCTTATATCCAATCTAAACTTCCCCTGTTTAAGTTTTAACCCATTACCCCTTGTCCTGTCACTACAGTCCCTAATGAAGAGTCCCTCCCCCTCATCCCTATAGGCCCCCTTCAGATACTGGAAGGCTGCTATGAGGTCTCGACGCAGCCTTCTCTCCTCCAGGCTGAACAGTCCCAACTTTCTCAGCTTGTCTTCATATGGGAGGTGCTCCAGTCCCCTGATCATTCTCGTGGCCCTCCTCTGGACTTGTTCCAACAGATCCATGTCCTTTTTATGTTGAGGACACCAGAACTGCACACAGTACTCCAGGTGAGGTCTCACGAGAGCAGAATAAAGGGGCAGGATCACCTCCTTCGACCTGCTGGTCATGCTCCTTTTGATGCAGCCCAGGATACGGTTGGCTTTCTGGGCTGTGAGTGCACACTGCTGGGTCATGTTCATTTTCTCATCGACCAGCACCCCCAAGTCCTTCTCTGCAGGGCTGCTCTGAATCTCTTCTCTGCCCAACCTGTAGCTGTGTCTGGGATTGCTCCAACCCAGGTGTAGGAAGATACAATTTGTATATGACTGTGCCAAATGAATAATGAAATGTCATTATTAAAAAGAAACACTAAATATGTGGCCATAACTTCTGCTGTGTTTAATTCAGTGATAATTATAGTGAGTGGTCATTGTGGGAACTAATATTCCTATCTGTTGTGTAAATGACTGGATACAGATTTAGGAACCTAAAATGAATTTTCTATTTTACAACATGTTGACAGGCATCTCAGTTGTTAGAATTCTGTAGCTGGGCCAGGCTATTTGAGGTCCAGGTGGATTTAGAGCCAGAGGTAAAGCTACATTAAGTCTGCTACAGAGTCTGACCTGAAAGAAATCAATAAAGGAAATCAGTCTGGCTAAGTCAGAGCAGGTCATCTCTGGGAGCTATGGGGAGGAACCATGGGAAAACAAAAAGGATTTTTCTTTTGCCTGAAGATAATGACTTCTTCATGTGTAGTAATTAGAGTATGTCTTTGCAGTTACTGTTGGTACTCGCCTTAGAAACAGCAGTTGCCTCAGTTGCTCCCAGCTTCTGTTGTTTTTCTTATGCTGTCATTCCCCAGGTGTACTTTGTGTTTAGTGAAGGTGTGCTGGTTAAAACTTTCACCTTTGCTTGTGACTTTCCTTACAGTTAATGAGATTTTGTGCTGCTAGTTC